TTAGTACTTAAATAATCTATTATTCTGTTAAGTTTTCCAGTAAAGCTAGTCCAATGTTTCTTTCTTTTGTTTGTATTTTAACAATAGTGTAATAGTACAGTGTACTCTGCTTCAAGCCTGGTAGTTTGACCAATCGAATTGCATCCAGAACACAACACTTTACACCTGCTTATAAAAATAAAAAAAAAAGTTGGGGTCTAGGTCATCTTCTTAATATATTTTGAGGGGTTTTGGTCTGGTCCATAACATAATGTTCACCTCCAAGGGTGGTAGCTGCTCAACACTGATTGGGAAAATGAAACTCTGCCTGATTTAACCTCCTTGACAAAAAAAAAGTGTTACGGACATTTTGTTTTACAATTGTCATAACTCAGAGAAATAACTCAGCAGAAGGAGTTTCAGATGGAGAGGGAATGAAGGATTAAATCTGGGATAACTGTGGTCCATTTTGCTGAATCATTCAATCCATTAGTGAAGGCTTTAGGAAGCCTCAGCTACGGGACTTTTGAGTGAAAATTTAGCCACCTGAATAAAATAAATCAGCCTCATCCACATTAATAATGCTATGTAGATATATATCTACATATACATTTGAATTGAACAAATCAGCAATCTGACTCAATTTCGTGTTCCACTTATCCTTTCAGAGTTGAATTACAGCTTGCAACATTTTGTTCAAAAATAATCAATCAGTTTTCCACTCTTAATCTTCTGAGATAACAAGAATGGGTTAGATCACTGACCTCAGCATTAACATGTTCAAGAATCATTAGATAGATTCACAAGTTGAATAAAAGTGTAGCTCTTCCACAGTTACTAAATGAGAGCTCGATTTAAAATGCAGGTTTCTAAAAAAGCTGAACAGAACGATTTCATTGCATGTAGACCATTATTGACCCAAAGGCTAAGATAATTCTATTGCCTGTGGTAAATCCAAACTGCAAGGACTACACGGAGGCTTGGACACCGCTTTGTGGAACACCTACGATCAGTTCGCAATGAGCAACTGCACCTCCCAGTCGTGAACCATTTCAACTCCCCCTCCCACTCCTTGAACGACATGTCCATCCTGGGCCTCCTGCAGTGCCACAATGATACCACGTGAAGGTTGCAGGAGCAGCACCTCATATTTCGCTTGGGAACCCTGCAGCCCAATGGTATCAATGTGGACTTCACAAGCTTCAAAATCTCTCTTCCCCCTACCGCATCCCAAAACCAGCCCACCTTGTCCCTGCCTCCCTAACCTGTCCTTCCTCACACCTATCTCCTCCGTCCACCTCAAGCCCCACCCCCATCTCCTACCTATTAGCCTCATCCCGCCTCCTTGACCTGTCCGTCCTCCCTGGACTGACCCATCCCCTCCCTAACTCTCCACCTACACTCACCTTTACTGGCTCCAACCCTGCCTCCTTGATCTGTCTGTTTCCTCTCCACCTATCTTCTCCTTTATCCATCTTCTATCCAGCTCCCCCTCTCTCCCTATTTATTTCAGAATCCCCTTCTCCTCCCCCATTTCTGAAGTAGTGTCTAGACCCGAAACGTCAACTTTCCTGCTCCTCTGATGCTGCTTTGCTTGCTGTGTTCATCCAGCTCTACACCTTGTTATCTCAGATTCTCCAGCATCGGCAGGTCCTACTATCTCTGTAACAGATTCTGCCATTACTTTCAGTTAATGGGAAAGAAAATCAGGTGAGGTGGAAAATGGACTGCTGCTTTGCTATCACTTGTTTTGTGCAGCCAAGACCAATTTAGAATCATAGAATAGAATCCCTACAGTGTGGAAGCAGGCCTTTCGGCCCAATAAGTCCACACCGCCCCTCCGAACAGCATCCCACCCAGACCCATTCCCCTAATTTCCCATGTCTAACCCACCTAACTAAACATCCCTGGGCACTATGGGCAATTTAGCATGGCCAATCCACCTACCCTGCACATCTTTGGACTGTGGGAGGAAACCCATGCAGACACGGGGAGAATGTGAAAACTCCACGCAGACAGTCGCCCGAGGCTGGAATTGAACCCGGGTCCCTGGTGCTGAGAGGCAGCAGTGATAACCACTGAGCCACCGTGCCACTCGTTTCTTATGAGCAAAACGTTAAAGAAATTGAATACTGCTCATTCATAAAGTTAAAAGATTTTCATCGAGTTCACAGCTAATAACAAAAATACTTGGATGTCTAAGGCTGCTTACAGAATAAATACACAGCAGTTTAACTTCATGGAATTAAAAGCCAGCTGAATGTGACAGACAAAATCTCATCTAATTATCCACGAGCGTGTGCTTTTTTAACTATTCAGCATTATTGGATTCACAAATATTTGTAAATTAGGCTAAAATAAAAATAAAGTCACCACAGTCTTACCAGACCATCTCTGATTAGAGAAAGATGCACTTCAGACGAGGGGAGAGGCTGAGAAGGACAGCCCCTCATGGTAACCTCAGCTGGTGCAGGAACTGAAATGTCAGCATCATTCTGCATCGCAAACTAACCGTCCAAGGAACATCACTGTTAAGATTTTCATTCACATCTTATAAGGTTATTAGCTTGGTCGTGCCTTCTCTTTGAATGATATGCACCCTCCACATGCCTTACGAGTACAGACTATCTTGGAAGGTTCTAGAGAAAGCTATTGTGAAGTGACTCAATTTTGGCGGCAGGAACACAGAGACAATCTGAAATAGATGTTACAAGTTTAAAATGGGTGCAGAGGCAGTCACCTGGCTGTGTTTGCACAGAAATCATTGAAGGTAGCAGGATAGATTGAGAGCATAGTTAATAAAGCATGGAGTATCCTTGGTTTTAATAATATGGCCCAGAGCACAAGAGCAAGGAGGCTATGCTAAAATACCAAGGTGTAGAGCTGGATGAACACAGCAGGCCAAGCAGCATCAGAGCAGCAGGAAGGCTGACATTTCGGGCCGAGACCCTTCTTCAGAAAAACATTGCTTCAGCCTATTCTGCAACAGTGCATCCAGCTCTGGGCACCATATTTGCAGAAAGATATGAAGGATCGAAGAGGTTGCAGGAAGATTCATATGAATGATTCATATCAGCAACGAGGAACTTTAATCATGTAGACAGACTGGAGAGACTGGGATTGTTATCCTTGGAGAAGATTGACAGGGGAACTGATAACAATGTTCAAAATGATGAAGGATCTGAACAGAATAAACAGGGGTTAAAAATATTCAAACTGGTGGAAACATTAGAAACAATAAAAATGAAGGGAATTGGAATACACTGAGAGAATGGTTGAGGCAGGTGCAATTTGGGTTTTCAGGAGGACATTGGATCATTGTCTGAAAATGAAGACTGTGCAGGGTTACTGAAAGGATGTGAGGAAATTTGGAGAGCCGGTGAAAACACAATGGGCTGAATGGCGTCCTTTTGTGCTTTAATAATTATTCTGTGAATCCTGAGCGTGCACTGCCATCATTATAATGTTGCAAAGAATGTGACGTACACACTTTGACATTATGTAAAGCTCCACGACCTACACCTGCAATGCTGTCGAGCATCCACTTTTTTCTCACTGGTTTACCTTAGGCCTTTATTCTATAGGATGTAAGTCACTGTTAAGATGCCTAGATTGCTCTAAACGTGAGACATAACACAGCTTCCACAGAGTAAGAACAATGTTCTGGCTCTGATTTTGGTGTTGATGGATATAACAATGGAGAAACAGTTCCCACGTCCACATGGCAAACGGAAGTCACCTTAGATTGAATGTTCAATACTGGAGTGATGCCAGTATTTTCTTAACGTTGACTGGTGGGTGCTTAGCAAGTCTAAACATGAATGTAATGATTTTTTAGGATTGTTTTAACAAGTTTATTTGTAATAATGTAGGAACCATACTGCAGCACATCCTGAAGGAAATACCTTGTACTTCCCAGAGCATACTGAGGTGAATTGTAAGCTTCAGTGAGTGTGAACTGTGCATCCTGCAAGAGATTTTAAACTTCTGATAGAAGTCAATGCAGCAATGCATGCTCAATTATAATGAATATATACAATATATACCTGGGCCAGTTCTGATGACGAGTCACCAAAGAACTAAGTATCAAATTTCAGTTGCATCTCAACCTCTTGTGTACTGATACTTGTGTTTTAGGGGTTTTTGGATGCAGTGGTAATGTACCTCCCTCTGGACCAGAAGGTCAAAGCTTAAACTCCATTATGAGGGGCAATGGATGTTACGATGTAATCCAAGAAGAACTGTGGTTCCCTTCCTCTGTCTACTTTTCCTGAAAGGGAGAAACATAATACTTTCTTCCACCCTGTCACCCAATTAAAAATTCTAGGCTAAAGGGAAAGTTAAGAAAGTTAAAAAACAGACAATATGAATGATGGATAATCTGCTTAATTTAAAACCTAGTGAAAAAGATTAAAGATTGGAGATAAACTTTTATTGTGAGGGCGGGGGAATGGAGGGAATATGTGGAGATCTTTGGGAATCCAGAGAAATGGTGTAAATTGGATTGATGTGGCGTCTCTAGGTTTCTGCAAATCTCAAACTAACAGTGGGCATTCAAGAGGATGCCCATGGAAATTTAACCCTTTTGTTGTAAATCTGTTGGTGACAAAAAATCTGATGAAAGAACTTGTTCAAGGGGAGAAATGGATTGGCAGGCCGTTAGACTTAAAACACCGAGAGTCAAAGGATGTTAGGATAGGCAGGAATGTAGACTAATCAGATCAGGATATTATTAACAGGCAGAGCAGGTTTGAGATGCCTAATGGCCTACTTCTGTTGCTATTTCATATATTCATGACTAAGAGACAGTCTGCAGCATCACAACAACGTTTTCACGTATGCGCTTCACACATGACTGTCCGGAGCCTATCAAACTAGTTTATATTCCTCGCATGTCGACCTTGCAGGACAAAGAATTTAAGTTCTTTCATGCGATATACAGTCAATGCTTGTGTGCCAATGAAACGAGTGTTAAAATGGGTTCCTGAAAGGTACATTTATTATGTTTTAACTTTTCTTACCTCCTCATCATCATCAACGTATTGCCCGTAATGTTGTTCCATCATTTCCCTCTGCCATCGCTCCTGTTCTAGGGTTTGACGAATCAGCTGAGCTACTTCACTGGTTTCTCCAGGTTTCTCCCGTCCAATCAAAAACCTAAAATTGAGGCCATTCTTGTCAACATATTTCCAATTCTTGCATCAATATTACAGGGCTGACTTCTGGTCACCACGTTTGTTTCAAACTGAATCAGATTTATCTAATTAACTCTTCTCATTCAGACAAACAGAACAAAGACAGGTTTAGCAACATATACAAAACCAAAATGAAATCTGAAATTAAAACAGAAAACACCAAAAGCACTCAGCTTTAATGGGAAGAAAAACATAGTAAATATTTCAGGAATCTGACCTTATATTCATAGATCACTGACTTGAGATGTTCACTCAGTTTCTGTCTGCACAGATGCTGCTAGACTTTGTAAGTATTTCTAGCACTTTTATTAAATTCCATACATGTTTAGACCAGAGCCTGATTAAAAACTGCAAGAGTTTCCAATATAGATTTCAGCTTGATGATGATCTCAAACTGCAAACTGACAGACTAACAGGAAAATACTTGGAGCTTCCTGTTTCACTTGTTATAGAAACTGAAACATGTATTAACACCGCACTGAAGGTGTGATTACATTATTAGACACAGTGACAAAATCTGGTTGTCTATCCATTCTATTTTCTCTACTCAATTTCTATCAAAATACCAAGGGGTGAATCCAGGTGTTGCTAGACAAAGGTAAGCTTAACTGGTATTTTGAAATTCTGCAGCATATTACAATCATGCGTACCAGCACAACCATCAAGTTCCAGTACATCACAATATTTTTCTGGATGAGGAAGTTGAATGGCATGCTTTAATAAATCATTAGTAGTTATTATTACACCCGGTCATTGTCATCACTTCTGGAAGGTATGGTGAGGAAACTTCCAATGTCAGTCATAAATCTTAAAAACCTAGACAGAATTTCCTTTCCCAGGTTGGGTGTACAGATTCAGAAAATTCCTAAGACAAAG